TGCCGTCATCAAGGAGGGGCTGTATTGCCGGAGGAGCTGGGCACCCATCCAGGTCTCAGCAGGCAGCCTGAAGTCTGCTTGAGTGAGGCTGGGTAGTGTCAGCTCAGCCAGCAAGCTCGGCCCAGGCCTTCACTGTGACCTGGGGCAGAAGGTGGAAGAGTCTCTAGCAGCCCTGCCTGAGCTCTGTTCTGTCCTTATTGTGTTGATCCCAGCACTTGTGTAGGTGCCCAGGACTTTTAGGGCTTGGCCTCTATTCTGCTTATAGGAATCTCCACTCAAACTACTTCCTTGGCATCATAGAGGCTGCACATGTCTCTCCTCTTACTGTCCTCTTCTGGGAGTCAGGCTGGAGGTGGTACATGTCAGTGGGTCCATTTCTCAGATGGGAGCACATGCACAGGCTCAAAGAGAAGGGATGCACCCAAGTTCACTCAGTGAGTTGGTGGCTGGGATGAGACCTGTGTATGAGCTGGCTTCTCCTGCCACTCACTTCCTTGTTCACTCAGCTCCAGCCATCATGGGTTCTTTGATGCTTTCCTCCTGAGCATACTAAGCTTATCCCATGCCAAGCTTGTTCCTGTCCCAGGGCCTTTGCATTTGCAGTTCCTCCACTTGTCAGGCTCCTCCCTAGATCTCTGCAGAACCTGCTCCTTCTTGCTCAAACATCACCATCTATAAGAACAGCTTCCTTCCATTTTGTCACTTTCTCACCTTACAACATAATTTCTCTTCGTATAACATATTATGTGCTTATTTTGTATTTCTTTGTAGTTTGTCACCACTAGAATGTAAGTGCCTGGAAGACAGGGACTTTTCTCCATCTTATTCATAGCAGGCCCCTGGTGGCTAGAATAGTGCATGAAATAGGAGGCACTTAATATTTGTTGAAGGAATGAACAAACGCGCAGATCACCTCACTCCTGGTGCGGATCTTTCTGTCTGTACCTCTCTGCATCCCAGAGAAGCCAGAGCAGGGGGATAGTGAGAGAAGGGTTGGCTCAGGCTGCAGGGAGGCAGTCTTGCCCCTTTGCCAGAGGCACACCAGGCACGCTGAAGCAGGCCATGGCGTCTGAGGTCTGGTGTGTGTCAGCGGGCTCTCTGGGGCTCTCACGGTCTCCCAGGAGCATTGGGGGACCAATAGGGATAACAATTGCCTCCACTTCACACCTCTTTCCCAATGCTGGGACCATCTCTGTCCTTGGACCCGCTGTCCTCTGCCCCCCTCTTAGAACCAGCACTCAATATTTATTGGGCACCCACTGTGTGCCAGGCTCAGGATTGGGCACCCAGAGAGCTTCATCAGCAGGGTGGGCAAGCAATCACCACCAGAGCACAGGGGGAAGGCTCTGACAGGGAGTAAGAGCAGTGGGATGGGGCATTCAGGGTGGGCAGCAATGACCTTGCTCAGGTAGGTAAAGGGCAGTAGGGAAGGTTTCAGAAGTGGGGAATATTTGAATTGGTTCTTAAAGGATGGATGGGGGTGAGGCGGATAGAGATGGGAGGCTGGGGTATTGCCAGCAGAGAGAATAAATTGTGCAAAGGATTCAGTAGGACTGAAGAAGTGAGTCCAGAGTGGGGCTGGGCAAAGGTGAGGCTGATAATGTTGGTGGGAATCAGATGTTGAAGGGCCTTGAACACCAGGATAAGGAGCCTGTGCTTCATCCTGCTGACAATGGGCACAATTACAGCATTTTGGGCGGCAGTGACTTGGTCTGGTTTGCGTTTCAGGAAGCTCATCCTGGCCGCTGTGTGCAGGGGTTTGGAGTGGCAGGTGGGGAGCCAGGGGTATGAGTTAGGAGACTATAGAGGTGGCTGGGTCAGAGATGAGGGCGGCCAGGACCAGGGGGTGAGGGTAGGTGTGGAAGGATAGATTCAAGAGCTGTTTAGGAAGCAGAACCGACATACTCAGTGGGAAGGCAGAGAGGGCAGTAGGGTTGGCTCCCAGGCTCCATGGCTGGAAGGTGATGGAGTGTGGGCTGAGGCTGAGGGATTTGGCCCCCCGACCATTCCAGGCTCGTCTCGTGCCCCTGTCCACTCACTGCCCTCACCTTAGCCACCTTGGCCTCTGGGGTCCCTGGACGTGCAGAGATTCATCCTGCCGCAGTTCTCTCACACATTGTTTCCTCTGTCCGCAACACTGTTCCTCTCTGCCGCAGCCTGCCCTGCCCACAACCCCCAGGCCTTCACTGATTTCCCAGATGGATGGGTCAGTCTTGGAGCCTCCTAAAGCACTGAGCGCGTCTCAGTCATGGGACTTATCCCAGTGATGATGATATAGTTCTGCTGCTCATTTAGCACCAATCACCCACTTAACCACAAATTCCTTGAGGGCAGGAACTGTGTCTGACTTATTCCCTGCTGTATCCAAACACTCAGCATGGAGCTTGGCACCTAGCTACTCATTAAACTCTTGTTGAATGAATGAATGGATTCTGAATTAATGAATGAGGTTTATTTGGATATACTGACACCCATGGGGTGCTGCCCAATAGCAGTTGGATTTAGGAGTCAGGCTCACACTTTGGTTGAAGGACAGATTAGGAAGTTTGTTACTGTGAGTGAATCTGGTAGGTTGTTTGAGGACAGAGACCTTGGGCAGTGGGTGGCGGTAGGTGGGCTCCGCGCCCTATAGGCTGCCCTTGACTTTGAAGGATGCAGTATTCAAGTTTTCTGGTTCCTTGAAGCAGCTAGAACCATCAGCAGCTATTCCTGGCACATTCATAGAGGTCTAAGGTCCAAAACAAAGGAGGTGACAAGTTCCTTTTCTCCCCTGTCTCCTTCTCCCTCTAACCTGGGACACTGGCAGGGAGACTTGGGGACCAGGTGAGACATGTAGAGAGGCCCAGGAGTTTCATCATATGCAAGCGTTGGGGTCTGGACCTGTTCAGCCTAGAGGTGCTCATCTGGATTTCATGCAGGTGCAGGAGGCTAGAGACAAAGCCAGGACCCGCACCAAGGAGTCTCAGGGAAGCAGACTTCTTGTGTGAGGAAGGACTCTGTTCAAAACTGAACTGTCCAGCAGTAAAGACAAATACTGCATGATATCATTTATATGTGGAATCTAAAAAATAAAACAAACTAGTGAATATAGCAAAACAGAAACAGACTCACAGAGGGAATAAACTAGTGGTTTCCAGTGGAGAGAGGGAAGAGGGGAGGGGCAAGATAGGGGAAGGGGACTGAGGTACAAACTACTATGTATAAAAAATAAATAAGCTGTGAGGATACATTGTACAACACAGGGAATATAACCAATATTTTATAATAACTATAATTGGAATAGAGAATTTAAAAATTGTGAATCACTACATTGTACACCTGAAACTTAATATTGTACGTCAATTAAAAATAATTTAATTTAAAAACTGAGACCTTAAAAAAAAAAAATCCAGCAATGAAACTGCTCCCCATCCCTGGAGAATGAGTGACTTCTTGGGGGCTGCTGCAGGAAGGCCTGAGTAGAAGATAGGAAACAGGACCTAGATGACCTTTAAAGTTCCTCTTCCTTTATGAGATGACGCTCTTGCCTTAGGACAGGTAAATATTTGTTCGGCCCAGCTACAATGGAAGGTCACCTGCCGCCTGCCGCTTACCGCCTGCCACCTGCCACCTGCCTCAGAGTCATTCCTGAGAAGGGGCAAGAGGATCTTGAAGCTGAGTCATGGACCTCAGGCTGGGCTTGGCTGTAGATCTGGGGCTTCTATCAGTCTCTAGGGGTGACTGCCTGCAGCCCCCAAAGGGGCTATTCTTGAACAAGAATCCTTCCCACTTAACTGTTTCTACAATGCATCTGTAGTCTTGAAATCTTTCGAAGTAAAAAGGTCAAAAAACAACAACAACAACAACACTAAAACTTGAATTCAAATATTTCAGAGTAAGGCTCAGCACCTGCAGTTTAAAATTCTCCCCAGGGAAATTTAATCTGCAGATGGAGCTGAAAATCACTGATCTAAATGAATTAGAGAAATGCATATGTAAATACAATTTTATTATTCTTTTTATAAATCAGAAATTCTTTGAAAGCAGATAACCAAATACCTTATTCATATATATATATATAGTATAAGTACGGGGGACTTTTGGTATTGATTTTTCTTGAACAGATCTTATTTGTATTTAACCCATTTAAATGTAAATATAGGGAGAGAGGATATAGCTCAGAGGTAGATCAATGCTTAGCATGCAGGAGGTCCTAGGTTCAATCGCCAGTACCCCCACTAAAATAAATAAATAAATAAGCCTAATTACCTCCCCACCCCCACAAAAAAGAAAAAATGTAATGTAAATGGACATAGAATACATGCAAAGCACAAAGGCATCTTCTTTGTTCTATCTTTATTTTGCCTTCTTTTCCTGTCAGTTTTGCCCTCTACGTGGTACAAATAAATAAAAATCAATGAAAAGCATAATTTCTATTTACATTTATACCTCATTTCATATTCTGCAAAATGTTTTCCCATCTGCTATCCTCACTCACATCTTCACAGCAGCCCTAGGAGGGGGACAAAGTCAGAATTATTATCCCCACTTTGTGGTGGGTAAACTGAGGTCCAGTTAAGGAAAGTGGCTTTTCTGAGGTCACAAAGTTGGTTCGTGGCATCATTGGCAAAGGAGCCCATGATTCCAGCCCCTTGTCTCTGCCTCTGACCACCTTCCAGTTGCTTTTTTTCCCTCAATTGTATCCAGTTGCTTTTTGGTTTGTTTTCTTTTTGATCTCTCTCTCTGTCTCTCCCCGACTTAGTTTCTCTCTGCTTTTCTCTTTCTACTTCAATTTCCCTCTCCCTCTTGCTCCAGTCCTTGGACTGGAGTCAGCTTTGCAAGTTGTCCAGACCTTTCCTCTCTTCCAAAATCTGCCAGCCACAGCCCAGCCCCAGGCCACCACAGGCTCTGCTGAGAGCAAGCCCTTTCTGGAAGCCAGAGTGCGGAAATTACCTCTGGGTGACACTCCCCGCCTCTCCATCTGGCCCCAGATAAGATAAGGGTGGGCATCGGCACTATAAACAGCTTTCCTGGCCCAGGCCCCAGCCAGCTCAGGCCACTGCAGTCCAAGATCAGCATGGCTGTCCGCCTGTGGGTAGTTACCCTGGCCTTGGCTGCCCTTTTCATTGTGGACAGGGGTGAGTGGGCAAAGCCTGGATTCTCTGTGGTTTGGTGTTGGTAGGTGAGCTTGGGGTCGGGGCAAGAGGCAGGGATCTGGAACACCCTGGGAGGCCTTGGTTTTTTGTATGTACCTTCTTTCTGCACCCTGGGCTAGGAGAAAAGATACCTGTTCAATGCTAGAGTTCAAACGCTTAACTCTGGCCTAGAATTACAAAAGTCCCCTCCCCTCTGGGGGTCTCCAGCTATAAAGTAGGAGGAGGTTGTTGTAGTTCAAAGCTGCAGTGGGCAACTACTGGGCTAGAGATCGGGGAGGCAGAAGGGAGCAGGCCTGTCTGCAGGAAGATAGGCAAGTCTGCTGGATGCAGGGTGGTAGGTGCCGGAGGAAGCCTGGTCTGGGTCCTCTGAGCTCCCATCTGCTCTGTCAGGCTGTGGTTGTGGGCCTGAGGGTAGCCATGTGAACACATAGGAGCCCTCACCCTGGGCTGGACACATGCTGCTGGAGTGGGGCCTCCTCAGGGCCTGGGGCATTTCTGCAATCTCACACCTGCTGTGCATCAGGCATTGTTATGAGCCCTTAAAACGCAACAGTGATCAAAACAGAGAAAGAACTGCCCTGATGGATCTTAAATCCAATGGGGTAGGAAGGAGAGGAATTGACAATAAACAAAATAGGTGCAATGTATGTTAAACAGTATGTTAGAAGGTGTTGAAGGCTAAGGAAAAATATTGGGTAGGGTGATGGGGATTGGGAGGGTTGCAAAGTTAAATCAGGGGAGTTCTATCAGAGGTGGTTCAAGCAAAGCTTGAAGAAGGCAGGGAGTAAGCCATGTGGGTGTCTGGGAGAAGAGGGTTTCAGGCAGAGGGAATAGGCAGTACAAAGGCCCTGAGGTAGGAGCCTGTCTGGGGTGTTTGAGGTACAGCAAGGAAGCCAGTGGGGCTGAAAGGGAGTGAGGGGTGCCAACTGATAAGAGAAGATATGATACAGGCAACTGGGAACTATAATGGGTCAGGCCTTGAAGACCAATGTGAGAACTTGGCTTTTCCTCTAGTGAAATGGGAGTCACTGTAGGTTTGTGAACAGAGTTGTGTGTTAAAAGGATTGCTCTGGTTGCTGTGTTGAGAATAGACCTTGGACCAAGGCCAAGGGCAACCTTGGGAGTAAATGTAATTTTCCCCCACGTCATCCAGGAAGGAACTCTGACACCACAGGGTTCTGAACTCCTCCTTCCCCACATGCACTTTAGTGGTCAAATCCTGAACACTCGCTCTTGGTAGGGCGCTGCTACATGGGGGCAGAGACAAAGCAGCCCTAAGGCACGCAGGTCCATAGGGAGGCAGGAGTGACCCAGTGAGTGGGATAGCACATGGTGGTGGAAGAGAAGCTGCTATGGTCTGAATGTTTTTGGCCCCCAAAATTCATGTGTTGGAATCCCAAACCTCAAGGTGATGGTATTGGGAAGTGGAAATTTTGGGAGGTGATTAGCCCATAAGGTCAGAGCCCTCGTGAATGGGACTGGTGCCCTTATAAAAGAGGCCCCAGAGTGCTCCCCCACCCCTCCCACCTGGCGAGGACACAGTGAGCAGGCACCAGCTACAAACCAAGAAGGGGGTTCTTTCCAGACACCAAATTTGCCAACGCCATGATCTTGGACTTCCACTCTCCAGAACCATGAGAAACAAATATTTGTTGATTACAAGCCACCCAGTTTATGCTGATTCAGTTACAGCAGCTGGACTGAAATGGAAGCCCAAGTCCAGGCTTGCTCCGGAAACCCTGAGGACATTAGGGAAGGCTTTGTGGGAGGTTGTCTGTAAGCCTGGCTTTCAAGGGCGTGTGAGTTAATAGGAGAAGGGGAGTAAGGACATTTCAGGCAGAGGGACCAGCACAGGTCAACACAGAGCCTGTTCTGGAAGAGTGAGCAGAGAGGAATAGTTGGGGTGTGGGGGCATGGAGAGGTGTCCTAGGAAGAGCCCAGGGGGAAGTTTGGGATCAGCTCATGAGGGACCCTAAATATAAGATGAAGGGGCTTAGTGTTCATGACAGGGAGCCATGGAAGGGCTTTACATTTTTTAATGCTTTCGTCCGTCCTCCACCCCCAACAGTTACATCCCACAAAATGCGCAAATCTTATCATTCAATGAATCTCACTCAATGAGTTTTGATGACCTGTATAACCCAGACCCCTATCAAGATACAGAACATTTCCATCACTCCAGAAATTTCCCTCATGCTGGTCAGTCCCTGCCCCCACCCCACCCCCAGAGGCAACCACAGCTCTGACTTTTTCCTGCCATAGATTACTTTTCACGCTCTAGAATGTCACATAGATGAAACACGGTATGCATTCTGTTGTGTCTGAATTCTTTGGTTCAGTGTGGTTTTGAGATTCAGCCATGTTGCTGCATGTTTGCTCATTTTTATTGCTGAGTTGTATCCTGTTGTACGTGTGTATCACTGTATACCCATTTGTCTGTTGAAGGACATTTGGGTAATTTCCAGTTTGGGTAATTGTGACATGGGACGGTTTTGAGCAGGGTGGTGACAAAGCTAGATTTGCAAGTTGACACTTAAACAGGACACCAGAAGTCAATCCTTTTCCCCTCTACCTTGGCAATCTCTTGTAATAACATCTCCAGGAGAAGCTAAAACCACAGAGCCTTGCACACCTTCGGGGGTGGAGAACTCTCCACTTCTGGAGACAGCCTCCTTCATTAAGGTGTAGCTCCCACTGAGAGAAAATTCTGGAGCCCACACCTACCTCTTTGTAGCCTCCTTGTGCAGATGGGCTCTGCCCTGTGAGGTGGAGAAGAGCTCATCTCTCCTTTGGCCCCAGAACAGCCCTTGAGAGACTTCAGGGAGCAGCCTGCCCTTCTCCGATTTACACAGACACCTTTCCTGACACCTGTGGCTCCCGTTCCCTCATCCACCCATCATGCTCACCATTCCCATCACACTTTGCTCATGTTCTATAGGCAGTTCATCCAGACCTCGAGAGGCCATGGGGCACAACTGTGTGTGGGATGAGCAGGCTGTGGACTGAATGTGTGCAAATCCCAGCTCTGCCGGTGTGCTGCTTTACCTCTGAGCCTCTTTCATAGGTCGGTCACCTTACCTGGGAAACAGACTCTGGGATCTGTAGGCAGTTTACCAGGGAGTGCTCATGGGGCAACACCTGTGAGGGGTGAGGGGAACTGTGATGCAGTGGAGCGGGGATGGCCCTTTAGCATTGTTCTGAAGAGAGACAAGGAGTTCAGATCGATGTACCCACATCAACCTGACATCGCATATGGGCTGTTCCCGCGTAGGGAATGTGACCTTGGGCAAAGCAGCCCTGTTTTCTGAGGGCAATTCCTAGGAAGGGACGCGATGTAAGCAGCTAAAACTCCTGACAGCTGAGGAAATGAGTGCCTCAGCCCTGCAGGTGGGATCTGGGGAGTGGACCACTCATCCACTACTGCCTCCTCTCCTCCCTGTTACATAGGGTCAGGGAGACGTGACGAGTAGTCAAGATCATGTGTTGTCAATGCCTGGGATACACAGTAGCTTTATTACTATATTACTACTACTACTACTACTACTACTATTATTATTATTATTATTATTATTATTATTAAATATAACAATCCCAGTGGGATCTGATTAATAAGGAACAGCCTGGATTTTCATATTCCAAACTCGAGGCTTTCTGTCTCGGTTCTTGTAATACAAGGTCGCTTGAGTGCACTGCTTTCCCTTGAGAAATCCCAGACTGGGTAGTGGCTGGGGCAAGTCCCTGAAGAAGCAGTCCTCAGAACCCCTGGACCCAGAGCCTAGAGCCGAAATCATCTAATACTTTCTTCTTTGCCTTTCAGAAGGACCAGTGTCGGCAGAAAAGCCCGTTTTCTCAAGACTGGTAAGGGGGCTATTGCAATTCTAGCCCCAAGGCTGCTGTTCGGCCTTCCCGCTACAGAGGGGACCCCCTCATCTGTGGTGTGAAACCAGGGTTTTTCTTCTTTACATTCCTGCTCATATATCATCGGTGCTTCCACGGCAGCCAGGGTAGCCTCCTGAGCCTGCATGCTCCCCAGGTTAGCCCTTCCAAGCAGGCCCAGCCCCTTCGCCAAAGTTTGCACCGCTAATCAATGCAGAACTCAGGTCTCTGGGGCCTGGGACCATCACTGCTGCACGGCACTGCCTCCCTCTCCTAGGCCCTACCCCAGGCCCTGATCGCAGTCCTGGCCCACTTCTTTCCCTGACCACAGGGCTGCCTGAAACCCTTTCAGACTGAGCCTCAATTAAGTCTCATTTCTCCAGCCTTCTCACACCAGGGGCCTGATAGGTCACGCGGGCCAGGGTGAGTTCTGCAGCCCCCAGAGAGGAGGGGCCTCCCGGGAATGATGGGTGGTTCTGTCTCCCTGGGCCCTCAATAGGACCAGCGGCAGAGCTTCTAGCTGGACCCTGGAAGGAGCGTATGAGCCCACAGACACAGGCACACACCTAGAGGCCCGCATACTCGGGCTCAGCAGATATGGTACACACTTATGTACACACCCACGGCCACAGCCACACACACGGTCATGTACACGTACACAAACATGCCAAGGGGCCTTGGTTGGTTTCATGCTCTTTGGACCCACACTGGGGCCTTCTTGAATCTGGCTCCTCCCTGGAGCCCCCCCCGGCTCTAAGCAGAATCCCTAGATCCCTCTTCTCTGCCTCGGAATCCCTGAGTGCCCTCCCTCCATCCCTCTCTTCCTCTCTTCCACAGCCACTCTGTGAGCACATGGCAGAGCCTCCTAAATGTCCCCTGACATACAACCCAGTCTGCGGCACTGACGGGGTCACGTATGACAATGAATGCAAGCTCTGCGTGCTCCGGATGTAAGTCCACCCCCACCTTCCCCTCGGCCTGCTCGGGTGGGCTCCATCTATGGTGCACACGAGTCTGAAAGGAGCAGGACTTGACCTGCCTCTTCTTTTCTTCACACTTGGGCTGGGAAGAGAGCTCCAACGTTTCCCCATAACAGAATGAGTACAAGTATAATTCAAAAGAAGGCATATGATTCCAAAAAAAGAAAGCCCGCTGGTGGGTGGCTGGGGGTTGGGGCAGAAACCCTGGGTTCTTTTCCTTGCTCTGCCCCCGACTGACTAGGTAATTTGTTCATTTATTCCTCCAGCCAGCAATTACTGTTTGAACACCAACTATGTGCTGGGCACTGGGGATACAATAGGGCAGAATAAGCTAGGCAGCATTACTGGCCTCCTGGGGCAAACCGTCAGCCTACGGGGAAGCCAAGCTGAAGGTCAGCCAACTGCAGCACAGATGCCAAAGGCTCAGGTCAGGGAACACATGGCACCGTGGGTGCCAGGCAAAGGGCAAGGGCAGGGAAGGCTTCCCAGAGGAGGTGACACCTCAGCTCAGCCCTCAGGAATAAGTAGAAATTAGCTTGGCAGAGGGGAGAGTATAACTCAGCAGTGGGGTACATGCTTAGTATGCATGAGGTCCTGGGTTCAATCCCTGATATCTCCATTAAAAGCGCATGTGCGCACGCATGCACGCACACTCACACACACACACACACACAAGCAAAAACTGTAAAGAAAAGAAATTAGCTAGGGAAAAGGGAAGCTAATTCCAAGAGAAATAAGTTTGGAAAGATAGAGAAAGTGAAAATTTTTTATTTGAGGAAATGTAAGAAATTGGATATGCTAGAGCATCAAGTTTAAAGGATAACAGGGGGAAGTAAGAGATGAGTCTAGAGTGAGCAGGGCCAGGACATGACCCTGGTACCTCAGCTCTTCTATTTGATTTCATTTCTTCCTTAATAAGACCTTGAGCTGACCAGAGCTAAGTAAGATCATGGAAGAGAAGAAAGTCTTTGGAAGCTGCAACACCCTCGACAGAGAGGCAGGAGAGCAGCAAGACACTGCCCTAATGTAGAAAAAGATCATGATTGGGCGTAGAATTGACAGGCTGTGAGACTGGATGTGGCTGGGGCAGGGCAGGGAGGAAGCAAGAGCAACATGCTGGTTTCTAACTTGTAGGCTTGAGTGGCTAGTGGTGCCATAAGGGGAGAGGAGCAGGGGTGTGTAGCAGGGCTGTGGGGCAATGATGTTTGTGGATGGTCGAGCCTCCAGGACATCCCAGAGGGAGGGAAAAAGTAGAGTTCAAGACAGAGGTCCAGGCCGGAGACAGATTTGCAGCCATCAGCCCGCAGAGGTGGTTGGAAGCCCATGAAGCTGAAACCTCCCTGGGGGAGGGTGTACAGAGGGAAAAGCTATTGAAGGATGTGCCAGGGACCCCTGGGGCCTGCCCTGCACTGTACACTGGGTGGGTGGGCAGAAGTCAGCAGGGCATCTGAATGGACTGGGCTGGGGTTCCTGGAGGGTATGTGACAGTTCCTGAGGAGGTGGCCTCGTCTTTGTCTGCTGTGATCCTAGAAACACCAAACAGGACATCCAGATCGTGAAGGATGGCCAATGCTGACCACACAGGAGCTCCTTAAGCCATGAAGCTTCAGGCTGGAGAATGGTGGTGGGCGTGGAGATGATATGACATGAAATAAAAGATCCAGCCCAACCCCGCCAAGTGGGTCAGTGTCTTTGGGGACCCAGGGGAGGTGGCTGGGATGGGAGGGGAGGGTTTTGCCCTGTCCTCCTTACTCTGAATCTGATGTACTCTCCATCTCTGCATCTCAACCCTGCCACACATTCCCCTAGAGGCCCCACACGTCTCTGCCTTCTTGAAGGGGTCAGGGCTCTGAAAGGCCAGCCCCTGTCCCCAGGACTCTGCCCAGCACTCCTGTCTCACCCTCCTGGCTGATACTCAGGCAGTGTACATGGTGCACATGAACTGCTTATTAAAATATTGAACTAGGACCATAACTGTTGAAAACAGGTGCTCTCCCAAGCTCTTGAGTGTCCCCCTGCACCCTGGCCACCCACAGCAGGTTGACTTCCAGACCCTGCTCTGCTCTTTTGGTCAATATCCACTCCGACTGCTTGTTAAATATGTCGATATTAGACATAACCTCAGGCATACACAGCATACACGCACTCACACAGTGGCTGACAGGAACACACAACATCCAGAAATCCTACCATAGACAGAGATCTCAGCCCATGTCAAATACCCACTCTTGGCCAAATTTTATAGGAGGAGCCTCTTGATAGTGGTGACGAGGGGAAAGAGTGTGGAGAGGGGCCTGGCCAGGTAGTAGCAGTTTCACATGGACTCAGATTGCTGCTCTAGGGAAGGCAGATAGAGCAGGAAATGCTCTGTGGGAAAACACACACTGGGAAGGAAGTGGAGTCAGGAAAGATAGGAACCAGCATTCCCTGGACCAGTGAAATGGAAACTTGGGCAGGAATTGTTGCTGATAGATCTGCAGGTGGCAGAGACTGAGAGGTCGTCCACAGACCCTTCTACTGCTATTGATAATAGAAACTTGTTTCAGGATATAGGATTAAGTTTGGCTGTGAGAGACTGAAAAGCCAAAATAACAGTGGCTTAAACAGATAGAAGTTAATTTCTCTCACACACAGACCTATGTAGTATACTAACTTCATGCTCCTTTTATATTGTTACTCTGTCATCCTCATCAGTTTCCACCTCAGTGTCCAAGATAGTTGCTCCAACTCCAGCCATCATATCTATATCCAACCCACAGAAAGTGGCTAAGAAGGGCACTCTACTGCCTCTGAAGATAGTTCCCATAAGATGTATGCACTCTGTTTACATCCCATTGGCTAAAATATAGTCTCTTGGCCATGCTACATTTGTAAAAGGAGACTGGGAAATAATTTTTACCTGGTTGGTTATGTGCCAAGCTGAAAATTAGGAGTTCACTTAGTGTAGAAAGAGAGTGGATATTGGTGACATCTAAGTCTCTGCCCCAAGTGGGAAGTCCCTTTTACACCCAAGTGGCAGAGCTCAGCCAAGCTCCTCCTCAGCGACCCAACACTCCTACGATGAGGAATCACAAAGGTTCAGTTTGAACAATGTGCCAGACACCACACAGAAATACCCAGTTCCCCACTTTAGAGATGTGGAAACTGGCCACTGTCTCTTGGAACCACCCTGAAACCTAAGTGTGGGCCCCAAAAGGCCTATTTATGCTATGTGACCCTGCCACCCTGGACATTGCTACCGAAAGATTCGTCTCCAGATTTTCTAAATTGGAAACAAGGAAACGGAGGCAGTTCCTCTCTGGTAGTGAAGCCTTAAGATGTGCCAAGTGGGGACAGTGGGCAGTCATGTTTCTCACTTTGTGGAAGAGGCAGGACCGATTGAATGATGCTGGCAAGCAGAGAGATATGGGGAGTGATTCCAGGCAGCATTTGTGTTCCTGAATCCCAGCTGCCCTTGAACTTTGCAAAGTTACATGAGATAACTTGACATCCTACCAATACATTTTCTATTTTGACAATCTCTTTGGAATAAGTTTTTGGTATTTTCAACTGAGAGTCCTGACTACCAGATGATGAATGGCTTCCCAGAGAGGGTAATCTTTAAGCTGTGCCTTGAGGGACAAGTAGAGATAATTCACTGAACAGACAGTGAGTGGGAGAATTCTTCCAGCTCTGCGAGGCTAAAGGATGTTTGTGGGATCAGAGCCGCATTTGTTCCCCTGCGACAGGACGGATCATGCCCTGGGGAAGTGGGCAACTAAGGAGTGCTCTTTCCCTGTTTCCAGGCGGCGATGCCCTGTGGATGTGCACGTTACCACTCTGCTCATCTGCTGGGCAGCCCAGGCCTCAGGGGGCTTTTCTCCACCCTTAAATAAGACAATGGCTACTGATGTTATAAATTCCAGTGCTGACAGAGCTTCAGTGGTTGAGTGCAGCTGTCGAAATTTCACTATTGACGTGTGCAGTCAACATTCATTCATTCTTCAAATATTTATTAAGCACCAACTATAAACCAGACAATGTGCTTGAAATACACAAAGCTCCTTAACCCAAGGAACTTACAGTCTAACATTAAAGGCAAATATTAATCAAATAATGCCACAAATAAATCATAGACCATGGTAAATGCTCTTCATCTTAAAGAAAAGTTACAGCAAGCTATGAGAGGATATCACCTGGGGGCTTGATATGTTCTCAGACACTGGGCGAGGCTTCTCCAGGAGGAGACACTTCAGTTCTGAAGGATGAACAGGGGTTACTGAGGAAAGGGGTTGGGGCAGGGGAAGGATGCTGAGGAGCTGTCCAAGCAGAGGAACAGCGTGTGCAAAGACCCTGTAGCAGGAGAGGGCACAGAGCAACTGAGGATCTGAACCAGACCAGAGTGGCTGACAGCAGAGAGCAAACAGGAGGGTGGCCCCAGATGAGAAGGGAGGAGGGTAAGGACTTTGGCCTTTACCCCGAGAGAAATGGGAGCCGCTGAGGTTTTTAAGCAGGGGACTAACATGATAAGATGCGTACCTCATGATCACTCAGGCTGCTCTGTGGAGAATGGACTGGAGAGGGCCAGAGAGGAAGGGCGGAGACCATCATGAGAGATAAACAGGAGGAAAAGGAGGGAGGAGATGAGAGTGTGAGCAACCCCATGTTGGCTGGGAGGCAAAATGGTAGAGGTTTAGAATGTGGGCTCTGAATTAAACTGCCCAGTTTGTGTCCTGGCTTTGTCACTATGACCTTGAGCAAATTACCTAAGTTCATCTCTGAAACAGGGATAGGATCTGTCTACCTCCTAGACTGTGTGAGGACTAAATGACAAATACATCTAAAGAACTGAGAATGGTATCTGACACACAGGAACTTGCTGTGGCCCAAGGCCACCCAGCTACTACACAGAAACAGATAAATACTGAACTGCTCTCACTAAAGTCAGGGTGGGATGGTGGGGCCCACAGCCTGTCACTCATCCGCCCCTGCCACCAACCTGTCCTAGTCCCACCCCCGCAGCCCTAAATTCCTAGGACTTCACTGACTCCCTCTCTGCCAAATAAGGTTGGCCTCAGAGTGGCCTGCTGGGAGTCTCTCCTGGGCACTGTCCAAAAAAAATGGCATTACAGCAGCTGACCCGTTTAAGAGTTCTAGCATGCATGGCCACTTGTGACATTACTAAACAGAACCAGACTAGAACTTCAGAAGGCTTTTGCTTCTCTACACTTCAACTACCAAAAAGAAAAAAAAAGTTGAAACACCCTTTCTGCTTGCTGATGTGTCTATAAACTGGTAGGTTTTTTTGATTTGTTTTTAAATAACAATGAAGGGAAAAAAGGACACAAAACAGAAACGGCTTGAAGGAAATACAGATCTCAGAAGGGCACGGTTAACAGAAATGCCTTTGAAGGAACTCCTGAGAAGTCTGTGGTTGCCCTCACTACCTTCCTGCTCTACCCACTCTGTCTCCCTTCTCTCCCCCTCCTAAGCCACGGTTCTGACCTGGTTTCAAGCAGAGACTTAGTCAACTCTGGGTTCTAACCTTCTAGACGTTTGCTGGTCACAGCCTGTGGCGTGTCAGGGTCACTGGCAGGTGAGGACAGGGTCTATGGACCAACAACCCAGCCAGCTGATCCAGAATTAGGTCACAAGAGATACTTGGAGAGAGAGATTCTTGGACTGCCTGCCTGCCAAAACACCTGTTCCGAGCCATTCCCAACATTCCTAACCAGATGAAGGCTCCTGGTGATTCTGGTTTGAAAGAGAGGACTATGGGATCATAAGGACAAAAAGGCCCCACGTATCTGACTGAAGACCAGAGCAGCCTATACGCCCAGAACTACCCCAGGACAAACGAGAGCTATCACCAGCCCAAAGAAAGCACTTACGGTCAAAAGAGCTGGGAAGACTCGGGCAGGTGAGGCCCTCTCCAGACAAGACGGGCTGTGGGCAGCACAGACACTCAGAGACGGAGTGTGAAACTGACAGGAGTGCTAAAGATCGCGTAGACAATACTTGTTCATTGAGAGCGGGTGTAAGGGAAGGGAAACTGGCAGTTGGCCATAAGTCCCCAGTAGCCCTGGAGAAATCAGGTAACGTCTGTTCCAGAGAGGGCAGAGCTGGCGGAGTCATTCTTCAGGGTAGCATCTTTCTGCCTCACCTCAGTCGGCCAGGGCCAAGTTTGTGGACTGCAGTCGCTCCGTCTCCTGGCAGATGTTCTGCTCCACTGTGTCACACTCAGCTAGGAATGCCTGAAGGACAAGTGCAGGGCAGTGAGGGCCCACTGAAGGCAAGCCAACCCCTGCCCATTATAGCCTCAAAAGGCTCTTTGCCCAGTCATTCTGGGGAGCTCGTTATGGCTGAAACAGGCCGTGCAGGGATGGAGACGGCCTAGGTTCCAAAGCAAGGAGGGGAGGGAGACGGAAGCACAAGACCACGGTTTCTGACGATGCTCTAGGCCAACAACCCTCAAAGCGGGGTGAGGACAGGAAGTCCTGCCACTCCAACTGCACGATTTCAGGGGGCCCTGTCCACATGGAATTGTGTCACGTGTCAGTCCTATCTGCTCTCCAGCGATCTTTCTTCCCAATAGGTTTAAACCCAAATTTAATTACAGGACATAAAAGGAGCTCTTCGCTTATGTTCTGGGTTTATGCTGAGAAATCACCACCCAGAAAAGCCCACACCACACACAATTCTACTCTCCCCTACTTTGAATAGATACACACACCAAAACATTACACTTTGTGATGTTCTACCGCACAACTCACCTGAATCCTTTTCACCAAACCTTTCCTTTTCAGTCTACTGTCTTTGAAATTTTCTGGCAGAATCTATGGAAGAATAAGTTGACACATAAATAATCTTCAGTGAAAATGACATAAGAACACAGCACTAATACCGATAGTACATCAAACAGACCACAGGTCACCAATGTGAATGAGATGTGCATTTTCAGGAATCACTTCCCTGGGTCTGTATCCTGCACGGCCCTTCCCGTGGCTCTCATTCCTATAAAAGCGCCCTTTGTTCTCGATGTCTGGGCCACAGATCTGTAACATGGACTTTGTCCTTTCACTGTTTCCTGTGCATGGATACTATGTCCTAGCTAGACCATGAGCTCACTGTGGCAGGAAAGCACCTTCTGCTGCTGCTTTACAACCTCCCTCACCCTCCTCCTCGAATCCCAAGCAGAGTAGTTCACCTTCAAGGTCGAGTCATCAGGCTAGAAATATCACGACTGTGTCATCTGTTGGAGGGAATGTGGACTCAGGGATTCTCAATATCCTCACAAGAGCTGGGTCCGACTGAATCCTGTCTGTATAGGTAGGTAATGGGCTCAGCGGAGTATCAGACACATGAATTTCGGGAAAGTGGAGCCATGTGTTTCTCTGACCATGAGACCATGGACCATTTGGTCCCAGCTGCATGATAACTAGATGTTAGCATGCATAAATAAAAATGACAAAAACCTTATGTTGATGGGACATGAAAAATTGGGAACCATCTAATCTTTCTGTGTATTCACTGAAGACCTGGCAGTGTCTGGCACACAGCAGGTGCTCGGTATCCTCAGGCAGTAAGAGAGCAACACTGAAAGAGTAAAACTGACTGAAATATAGTCAAAGGAAACTAGTTCCCAGCTGAATACTTACTAGTGTGTCAATCTCCTCTAAGATCTTCATAAACTGCTCGATTGTCACCTTTACTCTCCTATCCAGTTTGCAGAGAGCTTCAGCTTGCAAATCCTTGGCCAGAAAACCCTGTAAAGGAATGATGCATTATCTCAAGGGTTCCTTGAGGCTGATGGAAAACTCCAAGCCAAGGCACTGATGAAGCAGCCATTCCCTGAGTCCATGGTCCCCAACAGGCTGGTCCAGACCTCAGGCCCACAACTTCACCTCTTGGGAAAAACAGAAAAGCTGGCCCTGGGCCACCCCAAGCACTGTAATAGGCTGCAGGCCACTATGTCACGTGGCTACTGGGGCTACAAATGCCTCTGGAGGCCTGGCTCCGGTGAAGCCCCCGCCAGAGTATATCCGCACATAAGACGCAGACGTTAAGAGCACAAGGTTTAGAGTCTGATAGGCCTGGGCTTCAATTCTGACTGCCCTGTACTGGCTTCTGATCTTGAGCAAGTTACTTAACCTACCTGTGCCTCAATGTCCTCATTTTTAAAATGGAGCTCATGATACTCACACTAGAGAGGGAGAGGGTTACTGTGAGGATCAAGGGAAATATATGCATATCTTAATATAATTCCTGACACAGACGTATGCTAACAATTGGCACTTACTGTTTATTCACATTGCTTGGCCTAATGACCAGTTAGCTGGTGACAACAGGTGAATAACAGGGATCTCTGAGAATATTTACCAAAGCCAAGAGCTACAGATGCAGATTTGACAACATGTAATAAACATACATCCATTTTTATAAAATGAAGGGATCAAGGGTGTGGAGGGTGCAGGCCGCAGTCTAAACCCACAGCATGGTCTCTGCACCCCTGCATAAATTCACAGGCAAACGTAAACGGATAACAACAGAAAATGGTGTTGAAACAGCAGGAATCAACAATTCTGCACAGGAAGCTTTGGGAGATGTTGTTTACTGTTGTCTGCCTGAATTCGGGACAAAATTGACAGACGAGAGGACTTTGGTGCTTTGGAAAGTGTGAAAGCAGCTAGTGAACTCTATTCTCCTCCATCAGGGGAAGTAACTGAAATTAATGAAGCTCTAGCAGAAAACCCAGGACTTGTCAACAAATCTTGTTATGAAGATGGTTGACTGATCAAAATGACACCCAGGAACTCTTCAGAACTAGATGAACTAATGAGTAAAGAAGCATATGAGAAACATATAAAATCTATGGAGGAGTGAAAATGGAGCCCCTAAATAAACTAGTTTGAAACAACTTAATCTAGCATAGTTGTCTTAAATTAGAGGTGGATAGAAGAGTTTTAAAAAGCAACTTTCAGCAAAAAAAAAAAAAACTTGCAACGTTTTAAGAAGAAAATACCCCTTAAACTTCCCAATGACTTCAGATAAACACTACGCATCTTTTTCACAGCACCCTATGATTTTCAGGGTTAGGCGCTAGTTGTAATATTCAGAATTCCTGAAATTACGTGTGGTAAAACTAGTTACAGAAATTATGTAATTCAAGGATAACATTATCTTAAGCCTAACATAATATTGTAACTTGCTTACATCCATCCCTGGATTTGGGTCAAAATACTTAATGATCTTCCCATTGGAAATAACTGGCAGTAGAAAAATTGTTGTACAGGGTCAGATGAAGAAAAATACTATCTTAATTTTGCAGTATACTGTGTTTGCTGGTGCATTTTTATACAGTGAAGCAACAGCCTTGCAGGGAAAGAAAGAGTTTAATAATAAAGTATTCAACTTCTTAATTAAAAAATAAAATAAAATAAAATAAAAGGATCAAAAGTAAACATGGTTTGAGGCTATTCCTAATCTTTATTTGGTTTCAGCACTCCACCTCTAATACCATAAGGAATTGAGTAGGATGACACCACTCCCCCTTCTCAACCCTAAGATCGCACTCAACTTAGACCTTCTATGAATCAACACAATGTTCTTTGCCTTGCTAAATACATTATAACAGACTGGACTGAGGGAAGCTACCTACTCTATTACACACAATACACAATCCTAACATAGCAGGTGTTCTCCTAGGAGCACAAATGAATACTGACTGGGGTTTGGAAACACCAATGATGATAACACAAAGCACTTAGTATGTGTCAGGCTCAGACTATGTTATTTAATCTCACAACAATCTGAAGAGGGAGGCGCCATCATTACTCCCTTTTTACAGATAAGGAACCTGAGACAAAGACAAACTTGCCCAGGGTAATAGAAAGGGGAAAGCCAGGATCTGAACCCAGGGAGTCTAACAACAAAGTCTGCCCTTGTAACCACACATTTGTATCTCCACAGAGTTCTCAGAGAAGGTAGAAAGTCTAAGTCCACAGACAGTTACCTGCTGGATTCCAGTAAGGTCTTTATTCAACTCTTCCAGTTGGTCAGCTATCTTCTCCACAGACTTCTCCAAATCTTTCAACTTCTTTAGTTCAGCTTCTTCCTCTGGACTATTCTAAAATGTTAAAGAATAAAATGAAGTCAATAATCACCAAGAATGGAGGGGAGGATACAGCTCAAATGGCAGAGTGGATGCTTAGCAGGCATGAGGTCCTGGGTTCAATCCCCAGGCCCTTCATTAAAAATAAAATAAATATATAAATAAGTAAATAAAAGAATCGTAGCTCCTGTCAGGAAAAAAAATCCGACCACAAGTAGGCTAAAATACTCACCTAGAAAAAAATAGTCTTAACTCTGCTGCTTCTTGGAAAGCTAGCTGGAGGGTTATACACTAAAATTTTCTATCTAGAGACTCTAGACTAGAGAGAAAGTATTAGGTACACATTCTGGCGAGGGCCCTGACAGCTTGGTTCAGAGAATGAAGCCAATCCATGTGCCAGATTCAACCTTAGCTGGGGGCTGATTATCAACAGACTTCAGACTGAGGCCTGGAGGGTGAATAAATTACAGTGAACATCCATGAGGAGTCCAGGATGGTGAGACAGGTCGAATTCTACTCTTCCTTTGAGTGGAATTCCTGAGCGCTGTCATTCATTATGACGATGGTGACAATGATGACCGCTTTTATTGAGCCTGCCCTCTATGCCAGGCATCATCCTTAGCACTTAACCTGTTTTATTGCTTAATCCATACCAAAACCCAGTGAAGGAGGTACCCTTTTAGATGATGAAATTGAGGTTATTGTAAAGTAACCTAAAGTCACACAGCCCAAAAAGGTGGAGAGCTGAGACTTGAAGCAGACTTGGCTCCACACACCCCAGGACAGCTCTAACTGTGGGTCCTAAAGCTTCTTCAAACTCAACCTTTGGGTTCTCTTCATTGCCCATCACCATTCTCCCCGACCCTTGAGCAAGGAATCTAGAATATTTCCCTTTCTCTCACCTGAGCAATTGGTGGCCAGCAGCTTCCTGCTTTTATACTATCCCAAATTGTTCACATTCTTCTTTGTGGCCAAATCCTGAGTGCCAGTCTCCTGGCAGTTCCAAGTCTGGACTAGACTTTCTTTGCCTCCACTTTGCTAATCTCTGCCCCCTCTCCACTCTGAATCAGCCGCCTCACTCGAAGTAAGGGAACTTCATATGACCAACAATTCCATTGTGTCACAATGTGGGACTGGCCATGGCCCTCTCTCATCCAGCCCAGGGTCTACTGTCCTCACTCCCTTTCCTCACTGACTGGCTCTTTTTCTCCCTCAGTTCTTTAGTCTGAACCTTCCTTTCCAGTCAAAAAAGGTTCACCCCTGTGGGAGATTTTAGGAGGAAAGAATGGCTAAAGAAAGAGAGGTTCTGAAATTTGTAGAGTACTTATTTTTTAAATCTACAAGTTTCTTTTAACAAAACTCTCTTTTGTAATCCCCCTCCAAGTGAGTAAAGACTGCTTTAGGCACTTTTTTATCCAGACTGAGATTCCACCACCAACACAAAAGCCATGTTATTGAGGCAGCATAATTACTCCTAATTCCCAGAGTAAAGCTCTAACCAACAGGAGCTGGATGGTCTGAGAAAACAAAACTGGTAACTCTACTAAACAAACAGAGACTCCATTTATTTGGAGAGCGCTACTTCACCAGAGCCAAATCTGGGCCCCCAGTTCTGCCTTCCAAACAGAAACATGCATAACAGATCTTAGTCATTTGATTCTGAGGTACCCTAGTGGAAAAAGCAATTTACCTTTTTTCCAATTAACATGACCCGGCAACCATTTTGTATTCCAAGTGCTGACAGTGGTGTCTCCATTTCTTTCAGAGATTTTCCTGAAAAATAGAAGATATGCCACAGTATAACAATTGCATGGCAGTGAAAATAGATTTCTGCAGGAGTGCAGGAAATAGTGTGTCAACTAATGAGAAGAGGATAAATCGGTGTAACGTTTTAGAAGGTTTCTTGACGCAGTAACTTCATTTCAGATGTTTGCGTAACAAATAACTGGACATGTGTCTGCCCAGTAATCGTTATACAGAATAAGTATTATTCATAATAGTGAGAATTGAAAAGAGCCAAAAATTCAGGAATAGGGGACTGGTTAACTATATATCAGTACAAAAGAAGATTTTGTAGGCATTAAAGCTCATTTTTTCAGGAAACTTCAATGTCTCAGTGTCACAATAAGTGTTGATGGCCCAGTATTATTTTTAAGAAGTTATATAAACTCTATAATCAATATGATCCTAGTTTTGTCAGCTTAAAAAAAAAAAAACCCACAAATAAGAACTCACACTTTGGGGTACCAAGACAAACAAAAAAAGGCTGGACAGAAATAGACTGAATTGTTATGAGGGGTTTTATCCAGAACATCCCGTTTTTTGTGCTTTTCTCTATTTTGAAACATGGATTTCTACTGCCTTTATAATTCTGAAATGAAATGTTTTGAAAAAGAAAAGACAAAGAGTTACACTATGAAATATAAACAGAAATGCTTCCCATCACTAAATATGACTGGCATCAAATGGGATAAATTTGGCTCCAACAGATACCAAAATAATGGGTTCCCATGGGAATGGGAAGACAGAGAACAGGATGGGAGTGGGTGTGTCCTGGCAGAAATCAGCATCCTCTGCTGGGCCTGTCATGTCCGGGCCCTGCCAAGTTGGTTTAGCACCTTCTCTGTGTCAGCACTATGGTGAGCATTGTACACACTAGTATCTCTGCCCTCGTGGAGTTTGTTTTTCTATCAGAGAAATCAGATGGTCAGTGACTATGAAAACAATTATTTAATAGTAATTTCAGTATAAGTTATGAAGTGGTAGGGAACTCTGTGTGAACATACGATGGGAAGAGGATCTAACTCAGCCAGGGAAGACTGCCCATGTGCTTCATGGTAAGATTTCTGCCACCCTCATGTGACTTCAACTCTAATACCTGTCCAGATGTTTGCAAGTGCCTAGTACCTAGAAGGTCCTCAATAAATATTTGTTGAAAGAATAAATGAAATAACAAGCAAATAAGATTTGTCCAGTATGAAAACTGAGTTACCATTAGATAAGGTTAAGCAGTTTTAAATAGGCCCTTTAGCTATAAGAGCTCAAAGCTGGAAGAGAAATGCCCACCCTTAAATATGAGTTTCTGAAAAGGCAGCGGGACCCCTGTGGCCTCTTCAACAACCTGGGCCAGGTCTTGGACAACTGGTTCACTACAGCCTTCTTGTGGGATAACATGAAGGTCATGCTTCTCATTGCCTGGGGAGAGAGAAAAGTGTTGAATGAAGAAAACTCAAACCAATATAGGCTGACACTTTATTTATCCAACCTTCAAGGCCCAGTTCATATGCCACCCACTACAAACAGCCTGTGCCCCAATCAGACCAGCTTTCCTTTGGCGACCTGCTCAAGGACTTCTATTTCCTTTATTATGGTGACTAACAATATTAGTGACATTAGCTAACGTTAAATAATATCACTTAACATGCATAAGGTGCTGACTAGGCTCATTTCATGTATTATCTTATTTAATCTTCAGAACAACCTCATGAAGTAGTTACTACCTATTATCCCCCATTTCACACACAAAGCGAACTGTGAGTTTGGTCCAGTCCATGAGACTCAACTCCAAAGTCAGAATTTGACCTCAGATCTATGTGATCCCAAGGAACTATTTTTGTCTCCTTTGCTGTAATAGGCAAGGAACTGTTTTTCCCTCAGGTCTCTCCCATGGGGCACACCTGGGCACATACTTGGTTGGTGCCCAGTAAATAGACAAATGAGTGAAAGAACTCCAATAGCAGAAATTTTCTTTTTAGGGCAGGCGTGTCAATTCTTTTCCAGGTATGTTGACAGTAAGGAGGTAATGTATGTCCAGTGCATTATGCCAAGGCTTGAGCCTGCTCAATAGCCACATGAAATCAGCAGCACAGGTGTTACCAACTCTTCTTCAAATAGAAGAAAAAACGCTGCCTTTGAAGGAGACATCCCAAGGTCACTCAAAACTGCAGAATCTAGAATCCTAGATTTTGAGGCCCTGGAGTCTCCCCTAGTTGGTCCTGAGGAAACCTCACGGACACAGCTCTCTGGAGAACTGTCTTTGTTTAGATCTGTGTCAACTCCAACAGTAGGCAGACCCAAAGAGTGCCCTGAATGTATGCTTTGAACCACGGCTCATTCAAAAAGCAGATAGGAGTTGAGACTCCCGCACACATGTCCAGACACACAGCAATCATACACAACATGGTCAAACACAAGCCTGGCAAAAGACCCACAATAACTGCGCAGGCACATACTAACACATACAACCAAGAACACGACGTGAAGCACGGACACGAGGATCTACCAAATGGCCTGAGTCAAAATACACCAGCCACATGGAAAGGTGTGCTAAAAAGACCCCTACAAAAGCCGGCCTCACAGATACAAACAAGGTCCCATGCTTCTGGACGCCAGATAAAAACAAGGATACACGCTTCGGGGCACGTGTCCAAACTCACAGACTTTCGTAGCCCGGCCCGGAGCCCACCCGGCAGCCCCCGCTCACTGTGGGTGACGGTCACGCTGAGCCCTGCTGTCGCCATTTCCTCGCTCTGAGCCACCTCTTCACTCAGGGCCACCTCTTCGCTTCGGACCACCTCTTCGTTTCGGGCCACCTCTTCGCTCCGGGCCACCTCTTCGTTTCGGGCCACCTCTTCGCTCCGGGCCACCTCTTCGCTCCGGGCCACCTCTTCGCTCCGGGTCACCTCTTCGCTCCGGGCCAAGCGAGGCCGCGCTTTCTTCTTCACCCGCGGCCTGCGAGCGCCGGCGGCGGCGCCCCTGGTGGGTCCA